CTTAGTGCTGCTGGGTATGTAAGCCATATAACTCCTTGCCAGGTCAGGCAAAGGGTAAGATGCTTCAGAAATGCTTTTATTTGTATCTTTATTCCTGGGAAGTAAAGAAAGGCCAAGGGGTCACACATGGCAATGCCTTGGGTTTATGCAAAGTGCAAGGTCATTGTGGAGATTGAGTATTAATATAAATTTCTCAGATCAGTGGAATGCTCTGAGCCTCTTGGCTTTGGGCTGGATCTAATACGGGCCAAAATTCTGAGGCTTCTCTTTTCGGGTACAGTATTTGGAAAAAAAATTGTTTAGTAGTGGGCAAAATATTATTAAGATACCCAGTTGAAGTTAGATAGCAGGCCAAGTCAGTAGGGTTTCATAAGTAAACCTGGGGAAAGCTGACTATGCGTATTATTCTAGGTCAGCTGATTGGATAGTACACAGGGCGTCTGGGCACTGAGGGCTGAAATAGTAAACAGTAACCCAGAGCACTGCCTGGGTAGAAGGACAGAGTCAAAGGTGCCTAGCAGAGGACTGATGGACCTAGCAACAAAGGAAGGCTGAGAAAAATTAAAGATATCGACAAGGCAAGAGGAGTGAAGGGAATAAAGTTAAAGAAACAGGATGAGTCTAGAGTCGTGGCTCTTAAAGTGTGGTTCCTGAATAACAGCCAATATTGTCAACCTAAAATTGTCAGGAGGCAATAATTAAGAATGTTTTTTGGGGATCAAAGAATTGCAGTTCAGATTTGGGTAGTAATCCAAATAGGGTCCCACTAGGGAGCAAAGTTAGGGGTTTTTAAAGCAAAAAAGGAAAGTTTGTATAGGTTGTTCAAAAGAATTTTTTTATTGGTGCTCAGGGCAGAAAGTTACTCTTGAGGGAGTATAAATTGGTTGCTAAGCAAAGTCTCTTAGTGTAGCAAGTTGCAGGTGTTTGAGTGCTTGTAATAGTTGAGGCTGGCTCAGTTCAAGAGTTCATGGTTCCACCAGTGAGGGCGTGCAGGAGGCCCATCTCCTTAATGGCCTCCCAGCTCCATTTTCAAGGTACCTGACATAAGTGAGCCCATTTCATTTCACCTTTCACAGTATCAACCGGGGACTTGTTGGAAATGCAAATTCTTGGGATCTACCCAATCAAAACTCTGGAGGTGGGTCTCCAGCAATCCCTGTTCTAACAAGTCTTACAGGTGATTCTGATGTATGCTAGAGTTTGAGAACCACTGGTCTAGAAAGTTAAACAACGTTTGAGATCTCAGCAATGAGCAGTGTCATTTAAAAAGCAGGCCTGCTGTACTTGTGCATGGCTGGTGTGATGTAGTGATGAGTCATTGGTATAGAAGAAAAAGGGGAATGTTCAGGTGGCTCATCTGATGACTGAGGGTAAAATCAAGCATTGGAATAAAAGGAAAAAAAAGATCATCAAAGAAGGTGAAAGGGAGCCTTAGAGAGAGTAGCATGTGGGGATGAGGAGGATTAAGAACGAGTAATATATTGAGATATCAAAGGAAAAACTGGGAACTAGGGTGGATAATAGGTTTAGCCATGACAATAGTGAGCAAGGACCAGAATATGGCCTATTTCCTCTCCTCTTCAGTTGGGAAAATGGGAAAAACTAATTGTCCCACTAGCCAAAACAAAATGGAACCAGGGCGTGTCCGCCTGATTGGAGGTAGTAGTGATGGTGGCTGCCTAAGTTGAAGAAAGGAAGTGCGGACACAGAGGTGTTTTAACTTAGCCTATCACTTAAAGGGAATTAGACTTGAAGAGTAGAGTTCAATGGCAGGTCAATGGCGGAAGTTTTTCTGAGTAGCTACAACTAACATGCCTCTAGAAAACAGCAGATTGGAAGGTTAGATCAGTGGACCAGCCTCCACTAAGTGAGTGGAGGACTTTAGTGGATGAAGAAAACACATATATGCAAACAAGATACAATCCAATTTGTCGGAAGCCGAGCTATCCAACCAGCCTGACGGCAGGGCCCGGGCGGTGGACGGATCGGGACTGCAGGCGGTCCACCGACAGTGAAGCTTCTCGTACTCCCACTTTTATGTAATTTGGCCTTAATAAAAGTACCTGGGGAATTGTCTGTTGGGGAATTGCCCTCGGCAGGCCCCCTGGGAAAAGAACCATTGGGGAAAGAAATAAGGTTCCGCGAGGAAATTGTGCGGCCCAACATTTAGCCCTTGCCACCCCCTATAAAGACAACTCTACCTAAAGGAAGGATAGCCTCATACATTTGCCAGCAAAGGAGGAATAAATGGATTTAAAAGCCCCACTGCAGCAACAAAGGAGTGTATCTCTGGGCACAAGTTACTCCAACCCCTAGGCCCACTTGGCCCCCAGGAGGCATTCCAGATGATGATTGAACCTAGTCGGTTAAGGTACAGAATGGTTCATTAGTTCCCAGGTGCATTGTCTCTCTGAGAATGTATAAGGCGTGGGTTCCTAAGGCCCTCTTGGCCCCCTCCTGGAACCTCAGACCGAGGTGAACACTTTTGCTCCTCAAGCCACAAATGGTTCAGAGAAACAACTAAGAGGTCACGTCCCTGTAACTGTTCCACTTGAGGTGTTGAGAGAGATGACTTTTCATGAAAACAGCAAAGCAAATGCTTTATAGATTATAGATAAACGTAGATACATAATGAAAATAATGTAAGAAATTAATCAATAAGCAAAGGGCAGGAGAGAACGTTATGAGAAAATAACCATGTTATTCCTTAAAGGGTGATTACACATAGGAACATTTTTAGAATTAGGTAATGCTAGAAAACATAGATGACGCACGCTACAAGGAAATTGCTAACAAATATAATGCCACGTTTGCCACAAGAAAGCGGCCAGTTCAACACACTGCTGTTGTCTGTGTCCATTTTTATTTTTGTTTTTTGCCTTTTTTCTTTTTAACTTTTTCGCCGACGCCGTTCATCCTTCGGGAACCCCTGGACCTGCCGGAGCTGGACTCCGGCACCAATTTTCAATATAAATGTCGTATTGACACAAACTCTTTTCAACGAGGTGAAAAACAAAATGGTGGCATGCGAAGTTGGCTGCTATATTTCTAGAGGTTACAACCACAGCTGTCACAGACCATTTAGAAGATAAGGATCATTTCTGATGGTAGAGGTAGGAAAGAAGATAAACCCACATTTAAAATGTGCAGTTACTGGTTAAGCAATGAGTCATGGTCAAAGTCAATTCCCATTCTAATACAAAAACCACCCCTAAAATGCCAGTGTGACATTCCTAAATAAGGCCCTATATTTTAATAGCATTCCTTCGTTTTATCTGGAGAAAGAAAAAGTAGTTTTATAATTTAGTCAGAAAAAGCGATAGAAGATATATGCTTTATTTCCATGGATTTCTGACATCATATACTTAAAAAAAAATCCCTACCTTATTCAAATTTCCCCCCACTATATAATATTTATTATACCAACCAAAGTGACACAATCATTGCTCTCAAAAGATAATAGATTGTAAAATCTAATAGATTCTAAGATATAATAGATTGCAACCAATTGGTTAACAACAAAAAGAAAACCAAAGTAAAATGAACATTTGTGACAGTTTACAGAGCTCTGTTTAACTTAATAAATAAGAAGAATATGCTTTGGATAAGGCGTTGCTTCAGCACTTCTCAGAGAATAAGGCACACAATCACTAGCATTACAAATCACAAATGTGTGAGAAAATCTAAAGATAGCAGATGGCACATAGGATACCAAAAAACAAAGCAAGTGTCTTTAGGGCACTGACGTTTATATCAAAGTGACATTAAACTGTGAAAATGTAAAATTTTATAGCAACCAAATTTTCCTTCTCTAATAAAGGTTAATCATTTTTGACAGGTTAACCTGAAAGGACAAAGGAAAAGGCAAATTTCCTGAAACTCCTTCATTTTGAAAAACGTATGTTTTGTCTCTCTGCATCAGGCATATGTTTTAAAAATTATTTAACTGGTATAATATTTTTAAATAGTGTGTAAACAAACTGATAGCAACTAAAACAATTTTAATGACACCTTAGGAGTTTACATCTGAAATAACATTACTGGTAAGTCCTTTTTTTGTGTGAATTCAAATTCCATGGTTATAAGCCATGTATTAATATTTTGTTAATTTAATTATGTTTTTTCAGAACAGTTAAAACCTTAACACATGGGATTCGGGGGCAAAGATACTAAAAAAATAATACCGGGGCGCCTGGGTGGCTCAGTCGGTTGAGAGTCTGACTCTTGATTTTGGCTCAGGTCATGATCTCTCGATTTGTGAGTTCAAGCCCCACGTGAGGCTCTGTGCAACTGAGCAGAGCCTGCTTGGGACTCTCTCTCTCCCTCCCCCTCCCCCATTCATGAACACACTCTGTCTCTCAAAATAAATAGATGAACTTTAAAAACAATAATACTTGAGTAATGTTACTACAGGCAACATATTACAATAATTATTTCCTAAAGTGATTCCTGAAACAATAATCTAGATCTAATATTAGTTACTATCTTTTATGAATATGATGATTTCTTACAAGTCTACTGGCACAGATTCCACCAGTAATCAAAACTCACTAAAGTACCTGGAAAATCAAACTTCACTCAGGTTCAACATAGAGGAAAATGAAGAAATCTTAGTGGCCACCATACGTCTTATTCAGGATCTCATTTATTCTGGCTCTTTCACTGTTTTCAGTATCTCAGGAAAATGTGGACACAAATGCCTTCAAATTAGGCACCCTACAATTTGATCTGTTTTTCATCCTGAAGTGGACTGCCTTAAATGTATACCTCCAGAAAATGTGACTGGATGTTAGTCTACTAGAGCTATTGGTAAAGCCAGATAAACAGAAGACACAATAAAAATATGTCACGGAATAAATGAAACTCTAATATTGTACTAGTGTATTATATAGAAGAGAGAAGTAAAATTATAACATATATATATATATAGATATATATGTATATCTATATATATATATTTAAAGAAGGGTGCATGCCTCCTGAGCAAGAGGATTCAGGAATTATAATAATTAATATATATTTTTTAATTTATAATGTCAGCTACCCTTAATTATCGTCTGAACCATTTCCTTCTCCCAGAGTGGCATACAGTTACTTCAGACGTCAATCTGAATTCCATGTTTTGCAGACATCATTTGTCTGGTCCCCGTTAAATACATAACAAATGAACAGATATGAGGTAAAGAGGATGTGATTATGACATAAAGCCAGAATGGCAAAGGAGAAGTTTTTCCAAATGGGCATATCCACAAGCCGTGGCGAATTCCATCTCGGATATGATGTGAGGTCCAGGATATAAATAACATCCAGGGGAGAAAGCACCATGAGTCTTTGAGCTTGAAAAGGTGCATAGTAAACTTCAAGGTCAGAGCCACGACAGGTATCACGGTAGAACAGTGAAGAAAAGGTCTTCGTGGAAGAGTCAAAGCGGCCTGCAGGGGAAAGTAGCTGGTATCATTTCCCTCTTGGCAAACAAAATTTTGTAGATGCTTCTTAATATTCTAAAATATTTTCCAGGAGTCTATTAGAAATGCAATGGAAACATTTTCTATGTCACCTGTGAATACACATATTCAATCTGGTATATGTAAAGCAAAGAAGATATAGGTGTGAGTAGGATATTTCTTTGCGTTAAAAATGGAATCAAGATCTCAAGAACCTGGCCATCAATTTTTTAAAGTTTTCTATTATTTGCTTAGAAAAGTCACAATATGAACATAATTTATATATCAAATGTACGGTTTGTGTAAATTTGGAGTTTTAGAGAATTATCTGGGGCCTCTAACAGCATTGAAAAAAAATCTCACAACCAAATAAAATATTCTTCTATCAATAAAGGCAAGAAAGACATATTTTGTTGTAACCGGTTTATATTGGCCTTGAATATTTTCAGAATGCACTTACAACAACATTTAGAAAGACTGTATTATTTTATTTTATTTTTTTAAGTTTATTTATTTTGAGAGAGAGAGAGAGAGAGAGACCATGAGTGCATGCGCTAGCTGGGGAAGGGCAGAGAGATCATGACCTGAGCTGAAATCAAGAGTCAGATGCTTCACTGCCTGAGCCACCCAGGCTCCTCTCAATTAGATAACTTCGAATGAAAAGGAAGCCGAGGATAGTGAAAATTGCCTAAATCTGAATCTCCCCACACATCCTCAAAAACACTACAGACAAGGACAAATAAAACTATACCAAATCCCACTCAGCATTAGACAGACGTCAGAGAGCACCTAAAACTTCAAATACTCTAAAGCATTAAGATAAACACCACATCAGCGTGCTCTCTTGCACACCTCCACCGCAAGCCAAGAAGGACGAGGAGACCTAAGATTGATCTAAAATTACTAGAAAGAGAAACACTGAAAAGGGCCCTCATAGATCAGAGCACCAGCTACAAAGCAAAAACTTCAAAGTGTGCATGATTCAAGGCATTACAAGGAAGGCACTGGTTCTGGGGGAGAAGATGATAAAGAGGAAGGGAGAGGAACCCTTTGGGGACGGTCAAGAGGAAAAGGAGTAGTGAAAAAAACAACTTAGGTACCTATAAAAAAAAAATTAGGAGGCATAACCTTCCCACCACACTAAAATACAAGACATCTGTTAAAAAAAACTGTACCTTGGGGGTGCCTGCGTGGCTCAGTCGGTTAAGCATCTGACTCTTGATTTCGGCTCGGGTCATGGTCTCCCAGTTCTGTGGCTTCGGACTCCACATTAGGCTCTGTGCTGACAGTGTGGAGCCTACTTGGGATTCTGTCTCCCTCTCTCTCTGCCCCTCCCCTGCTCGCTCTCTCTCTCTTTCTCTCTCAAAATAAATAAATAAACTTAAAAAAGAGAGAGAGACAGACACTATACCTTGCCACCCTGTGAAGTCACACGGCTGGGGGGTCTCTTAAACGCACTACTTAAACCAGGGTTCTCTACTCCCACCAACTGACTAAACATCAATCAAGGCATTTATGCTACATTCCCCTTCCTTCTCCCCTCTCTACATTTTTAGCTGTTTTATTTCTACTTTGCCGGCACATGTGACATTTCTGTATTGTTACTCAATTCTTGTCTCTACCTTTGTTTTTTGGTTCCATACCCACGCTGTATCGCGCTCCTTAACAGCGGGGTGGGACAAGGGGGCCTGTGGTAGTCCCGACTTGGAAGAAAGCAATAGCCTGAAGTTGACGTGATTAGCAGTTATGCTCTGGATATGTCTGACTCTTCCTGCATTCATTTGTGAAGTCTATTTATATTAATAGATGCTAAAGAAATTTCTGTTGCTTGGCTTACTTCTAAAACTTCAATCGAGACTTTTCCTTCATAGATAAATAATGAATAATGGGGGCGCCTGGGTGGCTCAGTTGATTAAGCGTCTGACTTTGGCTCAGGTCATGATCTCGTCGTCTGTGGGTTTGAGCCTCACATTGGGCTCCATGCTGACAGCTCAGAGCCTGGAGCCTGCTTCGGATTCTGTGTCTCCTTCTCTCTCTGCCCCTCCCCTGCTCACGCTCTCTTTCTCTCTCAAAAATAAATAAACATTAAAAAAAAAGAAAAATAATAAAGAATAAAAGGACATTATCATAAAATTACAGAAGTAAAAATAGATCACTTAAAAAAAGAAGTAACAACAGACATTTAAAAAATAGTATCATAATGGGGTGCCTGGGTGGCTCAGTGGGTTAAGCGTTGGACTTCGGCTCAGGTCATGATCTCACAGTTCATGAGTCTGAGCCCCATGTCGGGCTCTGTGCTGACAGCCAGGAGCCTGGGGCCTGCCTCAGATTCTGTGTCTCACTCTCTCTCTCTCTGCCTCTCCCCTGCTTGCACTCTGTCACTCTGTTTCTAAAAAAAATCAATAAATGGTAAAAAAAATTTTTTAAATAGTATCATAAGTACTTAGTTTTGGTACTTATTACTGATGATCACAAACAGTTTTATGGTTAAAAACGTTCATATTTCATTTTTAAAAAAGGATCAGTACCAGCACTATGCTATACTTTCTATGCACTACCTCCTTTAATCCTTACAACAACTGGATGAGTTAGAGATGGTCTTACAGAGTGGGGAGCCGAGGCTTACAGAGAACAAGTAGCTTCCCCACGTTGTACAAACACTGAGTCTGTCTGACTCTTTGGCTCATATTCTCAACACTACCGCTTCTAAGTGAGTCAAAGAATAAATATAGTAGGTAGCCTAAACATTTTTAAAAATTACGATAGTTAAATTCTAGGTGAACGCACTTATGAACCACACTTTCTGTGGTTTAGCTTACCCAAATCTCTACTAACATTTATTGTGAACTATTTACCACGGTGCATCCTGTAACATGCTTTCTTAACACTCAAGACAACCCAACGAGATCAGTAAAGACAGAATCCACATTTTACAGATGAGGGCACTGAGGCTTAAAGAAGGAAGGGGCTCTGCTAACACCACCACATACCGGGATTCAAACTCAGGTCTTCTGATGCCAATCTCAAACGCAGTGTTATTCTGCCTCCATTTATAGCCAAAAAGTTACACTGTGTCTTTAATCAGGAATTAGTGATTCCTAACTGATTAAGCGTTTTCATAAGTGAGACAATCTCTGAGAAGTACCTGGTGTGTGACACATAAAGGAAAAAGTGATCATTTCTCATTCATTCAACAAATATCTACCAAACACCTACTAGGTGAGCCAGGCTGCGTTCCAGGCAGTGGTGAGCAAGAAAAGTCCTTGCTCTGTGGGTCTGTATTTCTTTCCTGAAATATTTACAGGTCATAAACATGTAAAAGGTAGGCAAATCTGATGACACTTAGAAAATATTATCTGAACAGGGGTGCCTGGGTGCCTCTTGATTTTGGCTTAGGTCATGACCCCAGGGTCATGGGATCAAGCCCTGGGTGGGTTCCATGGTGAGCGTGGAGCCTGCTTGAGATTCTCACTCACTCATTCTCTCTCTCTCTTTCTCTCTCTCCTTCTCCTCTGACCCTCTCTCCCGCTCGTGTGCACGCTCTCTCTCTCTAAAACGAAAAAAAAAAAAGCAAAAACAAAATATTGTCTGAACTGTCATTTTAAGCATAGCTCATTTGCAAAGCTAGCAGGTCACTGTATAGCTAAACATCTGAAGCCTCAATGAAATTCCTCAAATTTCGCCACCAGCGACAGTGTCCTAAGGAGTCCCTTGAAATGCACACCTTTGGTTCCAAGAGGGGCTGGGGAATGAATCTACTGAAGTCATTCCCCAGGACTCGGAATCATCTTAAAGCTGCTTCACGGTTACAGAGCACGTAGGAGCTGCATACTAACTGTAAAACATGAAGCGTAAGGGGGAAAATCCTAACTGTGGCCCTGAAGAAAGAACACAGAAAAAAGAACCAGGTTAGCTCTGAGAATGACCCCCATTATTTTAAACCAGTGGGCTGATGCTTCCTTCAAGACTTGGCTAAGCACCGTCCTCGGTAAAGCCAGCACAGAACTCTCTAGGTACATTTAGTGAGTCCTTGCTCTGTATGCATCCTTGGCACTTTGTGAGGCCAAGTAACTTGATTAGCAACATGTCTGTATTCATCTTCAGGAAAGTACTGAGTGCTCAAAAAAATGGGATTGAATGAGCTTTCTTACTTTAAAATTTTTTTTTTTAACGTTTATTTATTTTTGAGACAGAGAGAGACAGAGCATGAACGGGGGAGGGGCAGAGAGAGAGGGAGACACAGAACTGGAAGCAGGCTCCAGGCTCTGAGCCGTCAGCCCAGAGCCCGACGCAGGGCTCGAACTCACAGACTGTGAGATCGTGACCTGAGCTGAAGTCGGATGCTTAACCGACTGAGCCACCCAGGCGCCCCTGAGCTTTCTTACTTTAAAATAAAGATAACCCCTACCTCTAAAATGATGCTGTGAAGGTCAATATAATGGTGTTAAAGACCAGAAAAATTAAACATGGATGCCTCTTACCTTTAAAGATAAAGATCCAGCTAGAAAAAAGTGGTCTACATCAATAACAGAGGCTAAAAATCCAGCTAAAATGATTTCTCCAAAGTCAGTTGTCTTCTTGACTCCAATGACAATTGCCCACAACCACATGCCAATCACGCAATGTACTGCATTATCTGAGAGGGCTCGAAGCCAGTCATTTTGCTGAATGATTGAAAACTGAAGAAGTCTGTCAGCTACTAGGCAAAATATTCCCAGACCGAGGCTGGAAAAAAGAGATTCAGTGCTACAAGACTGGAGTAAAGCATGGGTCTTCTCAGCCTCAGATGCCATCACAAATAATACGTCAGTATACAGCAAAAGCCATCAGGAGACAAACAGCTTATTCTTGTTTACATTCCCCAGTCACCCTAAAACAGAAAGCAAAGAAAAATATTAATGCCACATAGCATTTAAACAAAACAAAATCAGCAATGATTTCACAAATACAAAATCAAATTGTAGAAAAAAAATTATTTTAAATGTTTTGTTTATTTTTAAGAGACAGGATGTGAGAGGGGGAGGGGCAGAGAGAGAGGGAGACACAGAATCCGAAGCAGGCTCCAGGCTCTGAGCCGTCAGCACGGAGCCCAATGTGGGGCTCGAACCCATGAACCGTGAGATCATAACATGAGTTGAAGTCAGATGCTTAACTGACTACGCCACCCAGGCACCCCTGGTATTTCTTTTTTTTTTTTTTTTTAAACCATTGTCAGTAACTTCATTTTATTTTTCCCAGCTTTATTGAGATATAACTGATATATAACACTGTATAAGGTTAAGGTGTATAATGTGATGATTTCATATACGCATATATTGTGAAATGATTACCACAGTGTGGTTAACATCTCCGTCACCTTGCATAGTTACCTTTTTGTGCGTGTGGCGAGAACATTTAAGACTACTCTGTTAGTAATTTTCAAGTGTAAGAAAATCGTATTTCTTACATGTTATGTACAATATGCCATGTAGCACAAAGAGAATAGGAACACCAGTTTACACGTTAGTATGTATCAAGGGGAATTTAAGAAAGCCCACCAACTGTAATCTATTACTTTGAGGTCATCCATCAGTTCTCTCTCTCAGCCATGTGTGCTACATGGCAGTGGGCATCCGTGTCTGTGTACCCAGCATCTATTTTCCATACTTCTGAAAGAGCATCTCCTTTTAGGAAAAGCGCTCATCGCAAGACCCACTCTGGAGCTGACCAGTTAGAATTCCCTGTCTCTCTTAGTAGTAGTCATTAATTAGTAAGTAGTAATTAGTCATCATTTTCCAGTAGTGATTGGACTAGTGGTGAATACTCTAGTGGTTAAGGTGACCCAGGCTGGGCCAATCAGACTCCTTTCTAGAATTTTCCTAAGTGGAGCTGGTAGGGGAAAGTTACTCTTCTTCTTACAGACCATGGGCTTCACTACATGGAGCACCCTAAAAACAAAGAACCATAAGGACATCAAGTCCACAGGTCCAGTCTTTTAAGTTTCTCAGAGCTGGCCTCCTTCCTGCAGCTTACCTTTTACTTCTAGGAGCTACCCTAGCATTCTTCCAATAAATCCCTTTTTCCTTTCTGTTGCCTCTCACCGAAGAACTTTAATTGATATAAAAAGGCAATCATAATTCTGTGCTTAGTGCTTACCTGGCATAGGATACTGAAATCATTTATACAGTGAAAGTTATCAACATTATGTGATACCTGCAGTTTTTGTTTTATATTGTTCTGTTTTAATTCTGAGGCTAAAGAATAACTAAATGACGTATTAAGAACGATTCAACTTCCATTCTGTCATAAAAACTATACATAGCTCGTAATATATATTCCGGAATTTATAAGGAAACATTCCTTGAATCAGAAAACAACTTGGAAAAAGATGAACTAAGTTGAAGGCCTTACACCATCTGATTTCAAGTTTTTATAAAACCGCAGTAATTAAGACAGTGTGGTACCGATATAAAGATAGACAAATAGATTGATGAAACGGAATAGAAAGTGGGATCAGAAATAGATCCACCCATATACGGTCAATTGATTTTTAACAAACATGCAAAAGCAAGTAAACGGAGAAAAGACGATCCTTTCACCAAACACTGCTGGAACAACAGGATATCCATACGTAAAAATAATAAACCTCGGTCCATACTTTACTCCATATACAAAAATTAAGTCAAAATGGATTACAGACCTAAAAGTAAGATATAAAACTGTAAAACTCCTGGAAGAAAGCATAGAATATTTTTGTGTCCTTGGACTATGTAAAGAGTTCTTAGAAGCAACATCAAAAGGCCAATCTGTTTTTTAAAAATTGATACACTGAACTTTGTCAAAATTAAGAAGCTCTGCTCTTTGAAAAACATTAAGAGAATGAAACAACAAGCCACAGATTTGGGATAAAATATTTGCGTATCTCGTATTTGATAAAGGATTTCTACCCAGAACAAAGAATTCTCAAAACACAGTAACAGAAAAATAAACGAATACAAAAATGGGCTAAAGATTTGAAAAGGTCCATTACAAAGATAATATATAGTGGTCAACAAGCACATGAAATATGCTCAATGTCATCAATTATTAGGGAAATGCAAATTAAAGCCACAATGAGATACCAGATATACCAATTAGAATGGCTAAAATTAAAGACTTATCATCCCAAATGTTGAAGAGATGTGGAGCAACCAGAACCCTCACACACGGCTGGTGGAAATATAAAATGGTAACCACTTGTCAGTTTCTCCAAAGTTAAACATACTTCGATCATAGTCATTCTCCTCCCACGTATTTACCGGAGAGAAATGCAAGCATACAGACATACAAAGACTTGTACATGAATGTTCACAGCAGCTTTATCTACATTAGCTCCAAACTGGAAACAGCCCAACTGGCTAAACAAAACACGGAATAAAAAGAAATAAAAAAGTAATACATACGAAAACATTGATGAACCTCAAATACTTAGTGAAATAAACCAAACCAAAAAGAAAAGAAAAATGGAGTAATAGTCAAAACCCATGTAACTAGACAACACAAAGAATGAGCCTTGGGGCGCCTGGGTGGCTCAGTCGGTTGAGCGTCCGACTTCAGCTCAGGTCATGATCTCGCTGTCCGTGAGTTTGAGCCCCGCGTTGGGCTCTGTGCTGACAGCTCAGAGCCTGGAGCCTGCTTCGGATTCTGTGTCTCCCTCTCTCTCTGACCCTCCCCCATTCATGCTCTGTCTCTCTCTGTCTCAAAAATAAATAAACATTAAAAAAAATTAAAAAAAAAACAACAAACAAAAAACAAAGAATGAGCCTTAATGTCAACTATGGACTTCAATCAATGCACCAATGTTGGTTTATTAATTGTAACAAGTGTGCCACACTAACACAAAATGTTAATAATAGGGAGAAATATGTATGGAGGGAGAGGTAACACATGGAACACTCTGTACTATCTGCTCAATTTTTCTGTAAACCTAAGACTGCTATCAAAAGTAAAGTCTTAATTTTTAAAAATGACATAAATAAAGGAAATATGGGAAATTTTATAATTGTTCAATATCGGTAATGGATACCCTGTAGTTCATTATTCTATCCTCCACTTTTCTATATATTTAAAATTTTCATTTAGAGGGGCGCCTGGGTGGCGCAGTCGGTTAAGCGTCCGACTTCAGCCAGGTCACGATCTCACGGTCTGTGAGTTCGAGCCCCGCGTCGGGCTCTGGGCTGATGGCTCAGAGCCTGGAGCCTGTTTCCGATTCTGTGTCTCCCTCTGTCTCTGCCCCTCCCCCGCTCATGCTCTGTCTCTCTCTGTCCCAAAAATAAATAAACGTTGAAAAAAAATTTTTTTTAATTTTCATTTAGAAATTTTTTAAAGAATACATAATGATTCCATTTATGTAAAATCCTAGAAAATGCAAATCAACTTAAGTGACAGAAAGCAGATCAGTGGTTGCCTGGGGAAGGGAGGGACTTAGAAGGATTAAAAAGGAACATGAGGAAACTTTGGGGGAAGAGTTATGTTCACTATCTTGATTATGGCAATAGTTTCATGGTTCATAGTTTCATGTATACATGAAAATGAATCAAGGTCAAGAATGCCAGCTTCTCCTGCAGATCACCCACAGCATCAAAACTGGAGTTGGTGAGAAGCCAATGCAGATTCCACTCTGTCCTTGCTCTCCTCCACATTGTTTCCCTTTTTGACTGTCTGCCTGGCTGATCTGCAGCAGCTTCAGGCTCAACAAAAGACTCAGAGGCAAGCGTCTGCCCAGAATGCTCTCCCAGCCCCCACAATTACAGAAGGTCTAACCCCTGTCATAAATCCCACATTTAGCAGGCAAGTAGTTCTTCTTCTTTGATGGAACTTAACGAATACAAGATCCAGACCATTTTGTTGAGTAAGAAGACAACATTGATGGTGTTATTCCCTTCCAATGGAATCTATAAATTTAATATACTCCTAATTACAATCAAAAGGGATTTTCTTTTAGGAACTTCATGAAATGTTTCTAAATTTCATTTAGAAGAGCAAATACCGGGTGCCTAGGTGGCTTACTTGTTAAGCATCTGACTTCGACTCAGGTCATGATTTCACAGTTCATGAATTCGAATCCCACTTTGGGTGAGTTTGTGCCCCGCTTCGGGTGAGCTCGAGCCCTGCTTTGTGTGAACACGAGCTCTGCTTCAGGTAAAATAAAGGAGTAAACTTGAAAAAGCAGAGTATCATAAGTACTAAAAGGTGAATACAAAGTCCAGAAACCGATTAAGTGTGTGTATGGGGGAGTGGGGAATGTGTGTATAATTCTAAACTGATAGAGGAACACTTATTATTTAACTCAGATCCTGTATCAGTTAGGGTTCCTAAGTGCATGGAAAAGAAAAGAAATGCAAAACACAAAACTTATTAAAAGGATATTGGAAATCACAGACTTGCCAGGTTTTAAGAACAAGGCCTCAAATCTATGCCTCAAGTACCTCAGTGAAAATGACACCAGACAACTGGTCTGGTGACGATCTCCCTACCACTGACCCCAGCTTACACTGCCCAGCCCCTGTCACCAGATGTTACCACTGGCATTGGTGTCAAAGCTGCACTGTCTGCTGCGGCCATGAAAGATTCTTGGCAGTATTTGGTTGTTTTTTTTTTTTTTTTTAATCTCAATACAAAATTTGGAGTAGGGCAGGGTATGTGTCTGATTGGCTGGCTCTACATTACATGACCAGACCTTTGCTGCAAGGGAGGTTGGAAAAGACAGTACTTAGCCTTTTCAGCATGTATTGCAGAAAGAGTGCTCTTTGTTTCTTCCAGTTGCATTAGAAGAGCAATCTGACAAATACACTATCTGGACAGGAAGTGAGCAGTCCACACTGGTTGTCAGTCTGTTAAGTGCTAAGTAGA